CAGTCGGACTCCAACTCTATCAATTCACTCCAATTTTGCTGCCATCAGGGGCAACGTTAAATAAAAGAGATTATGGTTTGTCAATAGGTGATGTCAATCAATCCAAATAGATGGAGAAGTTAAGTGGTAACTGACTGTGATAATGTTTTTATTCTAATATTAACTTTTTATCTTTTTATAATGCCTGCTTTTATTCACTGGTTATTTAATTGTTGTATGCCGCCCAGAGGTGCTTTTTGTGAGATGGGCGGCTATATAAATGCGATAGATAGATAGATAGATAGATAGATAGATAGATAGATAGATAGATAGATAGATAGATAGATAGATAATCTTCCTAGGCCTAAATATTCACAAGGATGGTGCACGTCACCATGAAATGTAGACATATCTGCTACTTGGGAGAGACTATCACACAGCTTGACCAAAGTACAGAAATGCCACCCTTCTGACAGATAATGATGAGGTCACTATTTTCCCTGTTTTAATATGTGGCCTTGAAAGCTGGATCATCGGAATGATGATATGAAGAAAAAGGGTGGCCTTTGAATTGTGGTGCTGGAGAAAATTGTTGAGAATACCTTGGACTGCCGGAAGAACCGATCCTTCAATGCTAAAAGAAGGGAAACCAGACTGCTCCCAGGAAGCCTGAAGAATGAAGCTAAAGCTTAAATATTGTGGACCCACCACGAAAAGCAAGAATCCTTAGAGCGGATGGAAGACAGGGTGCTTAGAGACTATCACTGATGACCCAAGCAGAAGCTTGCAAGAGTTCAAAAAAGCATTTCCAAAAAAACAGTCACAGGGAAATGATGTTCGTTGAGCCATGTAGAGTCAGAAGCAAACAAACAATTTCTTCTCAGTACAAAATGCTGGGCATATGAGCCACAGAGCTTTGTTCTCGTATCTGTGGCCTTCTCAGAATCATTGGTCTGGTCCTTGTGGGACATGAAGCTGAGCTAGAACTTCATACATGCCTTCTACTTTTACCGGTGGATCAAATATTCAAAAACTACACACTGGTATGGAAAAGAATGGCATTTCCCATCAGATGAATGTGATTTGGGGGGGATAATATATTTACAGTATTTATGATTGTTAACAGCTTTTCTCCAAGGAGTGCAACATGGAAGACTTCTTTGTTCTCTCTCTTCCCCATTTTTATCCTCTCAATGAATCTATTGCTTTCAGTCAGCACACCCAGAGGAGGGGTTGGAGGTCCCAAAGTAACCCTAATCGGCTTCAATTCTCCCAGGGCTGTACTAAAGGATCTCCAGAAAAATGGGCTCTCCTTGCACTGGGATGTGAAAGGCTCATGGATTTTCCCCAGCCCAACTCTTTAACCCAGTGTTTCTCAACCTTGGGAACTTTAAGATGGGTGGACTTCAACAGGCTGGCTGGGGAATTCTGGGAGTTGAAGTCCACCCATCTTAAAGTTCCCAAGGTTGAGAAACTGCTTTAACCAATAGGTAGCGTGGCTCATAAAGCAAATATTTCTTGAGTGATGCCCCAAATAGTGTGATTTAAAAATCAGGGTTTAAAGTGGGGTATGAGCCCGGCCACTTCCGATTTAGCACACGATGTGAACCAGCTTAACTGTGGTTTCTTTAGCGTTAGCCTTTTAGCTTCTCTTTCCCTTTTCTAATGTTTTACGCACTACCTAAGCACATTGTGGGGAGATGGGCGGGGACAAGTCTATTAAATAAATAAAAAATAAATTCTTCCCAGCTTCTTCTGGCTCCCACATAACTACATAAGACAACTGATGATTGCTAAATTCGGGAGGTCTGCTGAGATGTTAACCCCCCCCAAGAATGAGATTTGTGGCTGAACCTCTAAACCAAAAGAATATTTATTTCAAGAATACAGCATAACAGGCATATACAAGTGCCGTACAAGACAATAACCACGAACAGTAACATTGCAAGCTAGTTCTGCCCTTAATGGCTGAGGCAGACTGAGAAAATCAGAAAACCTCAGGTTGTGCATGCATTTCATAGACCCCCCAAGATAAAGAACACTGCTTTTTAAGGGTTGAAACTTCCAGGATGGGATAGCTTGTGGTGTTATCTCAAAGTGGCCATGTCCTCACTTTTATGTCCAAAAGCTTAATTAAACATGCACACTTGAGCCACACGGAGCCTAAATCAGTGTCTCTCAACCTCAGCGATTTGAAGATGTGTGGACTTCAACTCCCAGAATTCCCCAGCCAGCATGGCTGGCT